TTATGGCAGATACCCAGCGGATAGCGGTTCCGAAAAAATGAGAACCGAAACCAAAACCACTTATGGCGGTTCCGTAACTTTAGGAACCCGAACTGGAACCGCCTTAGGCGGTTCCAGTTCCAGAACCGACAGTTCCGAGGTGGTTCTAGTTCCAAAAGCAGGTACCTAGTTCCGATGCTCATGCCTGTATAAAATTAATTAAATTTTTATAGTAAAAACTTCAAATTATTAATTAATTATTTTAAATAAATTATTAACTAAGTGATATTTTTTATTTATATAAAATTCTAAACGTTGATTCAAATAAATACGTGAAATTATATCTTGTTATAATTTGTATTAATTTTATTTTATCGTTTATTCTAATGTTTTAATTTAATATAATTAGAATAGAAAATTTAAATTTTGAAATTTAAAATGGAAAATCAATATATTGACAAATAACATGTCTTTAATTAAATGGCCTAATAAGGTGACACGTAGCAAAAAATTTATTCTTTTATTAGTATAGGGAGGTATAGAAAGTGTTTTTTTATTGGTTATCTATTATCTTTTATAAGTTGTAGCTAGCTTATTTGGCTAACATGAATGTTTAAACTAACAACTAACCAAGAAGTCTTGAATCAATTCCAAGGAGATGAGAATAATATATAATTATTTGTGGTTTAAAAAAAAATCTATTATCTATTATTTTAATTGTTATGTTATGAAAAAATTAAAAAATCATTTCCCTTTTATTTTTTTAGGGTGTTAGCATCGACAAAATCGCTGCTACTATTGTCGCCGTAAATGTCCATGTACGAAATTGGAAACCAGATGTTGAATTGAGATAGGTTATCGACGATAGTCCGATACGGTGCTTCCTTGAAGGAACGATCACCCGGATCGGGGTTTAAAGCCATTAGACCCCACAAATAGCAACTACATAAAAACACAGAGTTTATATGTCGATGCTAACGATGATATTTCCTCTATATTGAGTATTTTTTGCATTATAATTCATTAAAATATCTAAAATTAATAATGGAGATAGAGTTGTTTAAATATTTTCTTTCTTTATGAATAGTAACTTATTTTGGTTCATTTTTTTTTAACACAAAAAACAAAGAGAATTTACTTTTTAGCGTAAAGTTATATAAAACATATTCACATTGCTTTCGATTAACTACAAGGAATATATATTGTCGAACGTTAAATTAGATACTAAGTACAGATTATATTTGATAAAGGATGTAACGTGAATGCCACAATGTTCGACAAAAGCATTTTAGTCTAAGTAACTACAAAAGGCCACATTTCATTATATTATCAATGGAGCTACTTATTATACAAAAAGGATTTATTATATTTAAATTATTTAAAAATAATATCTTAAATTTAATAATATGAACTTAACATACGACATTATCATTTTATAAATAAACAAGTGTACTGTGTATATATATTCTTCACAACACCTAAGGCTGGAGGCAACATAAAGACTAAGATGAGATGTTATTATCATTAATTTGAATCATTTATACAAATGGGGCCCTCGTCTCTTCTAAACATCCACATCACACCCACCTCCATTTTCATATTTCCAAAAACCACCCTCCCCGGCCACTCGTGAGTATATATGAAGCCATCTATCATATCGCCATCCCTGCAACAAACATTCCTTATTCCACGCCAATCATGAAGAAAATCAATCTCATGCTAAGAAGATGCAAGACGTTATCAAGGCAACTCATCAGGACCTCCTCCTACACCTCCCTAAGATCCAAATCAACCACCGATCATCATCATCTTCGTCATGGACCACCAGCAGAAACAGGAGGAATAATGTGGAATAGTAGCGCCGTTTGTGTTTACGGCGGCGGAGAAGAGCCTCGGGCCACCGTTTTTGTTGGGAGCACCAGGAAGCGTTACGTAATTGGTTCAAAGTATTTAAGCCATCCACTCGTTATTGCTCTCACCGAAAAATCTACTTCCATTGATGGGGATAATGCCGCATCTGTCATCAACTGTGAAGTTGTACTGTTTGATCATCTCTTGTGGATGCTCGAAAATTCCTATCTGAATATCAATTCCGATTCTTTGGACGAGTTAGCAGCTCTCTACATATCTTAATTGACTCTCTCTCTCTCTCTCTCTCTCTCTCTCTCTCTCTCTCTCTCTCTCTCTCTCTCTCTCTCTCTC